CCCGCCCTCACTGCCGCCTCCCACGATCGCATTTCTCTACCGGACGCGATATCTTATCGTGATATTATTTTGCACTCCCAGCAGTTATTGGGAAATTACAGATACGAACTTTAAATGCAATTTTAATAATGTATTCTGTGTCCATAAATCCAAAAGTGAACAGAATCGTATTGTTTTAACAAAGACTTGACTAGAATTTGCCTAATGAAGACCGAACTTAAACACAGACATCGAAATAGTTTCATTAATAAAAGGTAATGAACCTATTTCTTTACAATTATTATTAAAATAACCGAACATCGGGGGGCGGATTGGTATTAAAATCCCGAATTAATTCGCCCCTTATGTAACTGCAACATTTTTTTTAACTGATGAATAAGCAAACATAAATTTCAGAAACACAGAATTGGCTAGCAAGCTATTTATTTTATTTTTTTGCATGTGTTACAATATAAACGAAATTCCAGTTTCATTTAGCTCCCGTAAACAAAACAAGGAATTAAACACGAAAGGGCGAATAATAAATTCGTCTGGAGTACCTAAACATTTGAGTGACATTGTTCATCAAAATATAAAGATAGTTATTACGTTACTAAGACGAATATATAAGAAAACTGCATAAGAGATTCTTTCAATTTTTAACTGGAAGTAGGTAAACATTGACGTATCGTAGCCTGCCTTAACATTTGTACAAACATTTCTAGTCGTTGTTCGGTACACATTCGTACTTTATCACGTGTATGAAAATTACGTTGGCTTTTGTCCATCGTCAAAGTGATTTTGTTCAAAACACCGGCGTTTCGGAAGTTGGGTCTACTTCCGTCTTCAGATGGGTGATAGGAGGATAAAACACAACTCTGTTAAGCGCCTTGGTTGAGCTAGGCTCATTAGTAGGTCTAAGAGAGGATAGAGATTTGTCCTCCAATCGTTCAACTGAAGAAGGAAGTACACCCAACTTCCGAAACTTCGGTGTTTTAAACAAAAACATTTACACGACGAATAAAGTCCAACAGAATTTTCATGAACAGGCTTAAAATTATTCACTGTGTGGACGTTTTCCATCATCCTTTTTTAAAAGAAGAAACCACGACGTTTCGGAAACTGGCTCTGTTTCCGTCTTCAGGCGAGCGGAACCTTCTTAGTTGGGTCCTTCAGATAGAGCTAGTCTCCATCACTGGAGTGACGGACGGAAATTCACAGAAATTCAAGGATATAGCGGAACGAACAAAGATTACGCTTAGCAAATATGTAAAGTTGCAACCAGTTTATTGAAAAATTGCGGCAGTGCCTTGGATTGTTCAGAAGTAACTAATATTTTGAAAACTGATCACTCTGACAGAAACATAATATAAAGTAACTACATACAGCAAAGTCTTTCTGAGGAAGCTAATATTTATTTCCTCAGTTGGTCAATATATTCCCCACATTTATGGAACAATAAGGTTCATTATCATGTTCACAATAGCTCATCACTAGTCAGTATTCTGAGTCACATAAATCCAGTTTACACTCTCAAGTTCGATTGCTTTAGGATCCACCTTAATATTACCATTCCATCTTCACCTACGTATCCCAAATGGTTTCTACCATATAATTTTAGTATCAAAATTTTGTATGTATTTCCAATATTCCACGCGTGTCATATGTACAAAATTTTATAAATTTTTATGCAAACTATTCAGTGAATCAAAATAAACTATCATTATTACATTTCATCTTAAATATGTTTAAATTTAAATTTCATTTAAAATGAAAAACGTAAATGTTCATTAATATTATTAAGTGGGCCGACTTCAGACAAAATTCAGATTTTATAAATGTACAGAAATTTTCTGAAATACACAGCACCACTTTAGGGGCGTTTTATATGCATAAAAGGAACGAAAAATGTCTGGGCCTTTGGACCCTCCACTTTTGGTTAGGGCCTGCAACATCACCTGAATTAAACTCGCTGTATCTTTGTTTATGGGACCATCTTGAAAGCACTGCGCACGCTAAGACAATTAATGACAGAAAACGGATGCAAGTTATTTTGTAACACGCCTGGAATTTTTAGCGCGTGAAGGGCGCTGTGTGGAGACAGAAGGGCAACACTTTCAGAATCTTTTGTAATTTGTTGTCGTTAAAATTAGTGATTTGTAAAAAAGAAACTTCCTGTGGACGGGCTTACTCTTTTTTTTCCCCGCCTTCTAAAATAAAATTCAATTCAGTTCATTTATTTAAGTGTTTACCAACAGCAAGAAGCCAATAACAGGCAAACACTGATAATACATACAATAATAATGAAAAATATTACAAAATGGGCTGAAACTTAAAGACGAAGCGTCCATGTTTACAAAGACGCCTGTCGTTCATTTTGTGTACAAAGCACGCACCTAAAGAGAATCTGTGTACTTCAGAAACATCCTATTCTTTACCAATATTTGTCATAAAATTTGACCTGAAGTTCAAAAGTTAAAAGATAGGAAAACCCTTGGGAATAAAAAAAACATTTTTTTAGACCGTGTTTCATACTAAATAACAAGACTCAATAATATTCTTATGAATTTCCTTAAGGGTCCCGTAACAGAACGCTATGTATTATGTTTTCAACACAGCGTCCTTCACACCAGCGGTATTCAACCTTTTTTGTTCGCGTACCCTTAGATATAATTTTTCTTCAACATTGTATTCCTAAAGTTGTTGGTGTATAATTCAAGTTATACATAGTATATAATCTACATCTAAAATAAATCAAATAAATTACATTACTAATTATTCAGTGTTTATCATAAAATAATATATATATTTTTTTTAAATTTCACGTACCCCCTAAGATGTCTTCGCGTACCCCCGGGGGTACGCGTACCCCAGGTTGAATATCACTGCTTCACACGACGCGTACAAGACCCCTACAATTGACGTACAGCGTTAGGAAACACATACTAAAAGACTTTATCTAAAGTTACTTATACTCTGGGGACTATCACACTAAAACGCTTACCTTCACGAACGGAAAAGGTTAATACAATTGTTTTACCAAGAACACAGGAGCTTGAATACAGCGCGCCACCTTGATGAGAGAAGCGAGAAGCGACTATAACCTGCATTTGCCCCACGTCTCAATATTCTCGGATATTTTAAAAGGCGCCGAACGCCAGTGCGCAGCCTCTCAGACACGTCTGATCCCGCGTTCCTTAGCTATTCTTTCTCTCCACTTTGAACTGCTGTCAGTCAGATTTGCTTTGAGCTCAGCTAGTCAGTAAAACAGTCACAAACGCAGCCACACATTATATTGTGAAACAAGCGTAAATGCGAGACCAACTGCTTTGGAAATACTCGGGGTTCTATATTATATTTAGCGTGCGTTGAACAAATTGCTATTATTGAACTCCTCAATTCGCGACGACCTGATTAATGTCTTTCATTAAGTCGTATGGGAATTTCGCAAGTGCTAGGTACGAAAAAAAGAGAACACAATTTGAAGGTGCCAACAGTGTCAACAGTTAGTTAACAGTGACCGGTTTATAGTCCTCGCCACGTGACAAGGCTAATCATTCGCAATTCACATCGTAATGAATCAGAAATAAAATAATCACACACTCAATAAAATTTACCAACAATCTGAAGAACACATTTGTATCACCATGTCTCTCAGTTTGACGAAACTTCAGATCTGAAATTGTTATTAACATTTTATTTCAAATTGATCCTTTCGGGTCATCAAATAATCAGTACTCTGATAAAACGTATTAATGCAAAAAAGGGAAACGAAAAAGTGTAACTTCTTTGTTATGTTACCTAGGAAACGTCATCTGTTTACTCAGCATTGTTGTTGCCTATAAAACATTACATTACATTACCTTACCTTACATTACATTACTTTACATTACCTTACATTACATTTCATTACATTACATTACTTTACATTACATTACCTTACATTACATTTCATTACATTACATTACATTACTTTACATTACATTTAGCTGCCACAGACCCATTTTAAGGGTAACTAATTGAAATTGAATAAGCAATGTCTTCATCAAACTTGTCTCAATTGTAAAGCATGTATAAAGGAAATATTTAGAATAAAGCCAATATATAAACTTCCTTTCCGTATAGACGTATTTACGTCAAATTCTCCGGAACCGTGGTTCCACTGTAACTTTTTGTTTTCAATGAATTTTAGGCGCGTTAACAACAAATTCCAGCTTAGGCACTTCTAAAACAAATGCGCTCTGATTAAACGAAATTAACTACATGGAGCAGAATCCTTCTTGAAAAGCTAATAGTCATCCAGCCAGTCAAGAAATTCCCGGTCTTGTATAGAACCCAAACGTTCATTACCGTGTTAACAAAAACACGTACAAATCCGAGGCTCTGTGTGACCTTCTGTTTCACGCTACTCTTTGTGGTGAGTTGTTGGTCCCCTATTCAACCCACAAGTTGGAGGGCCACCCCTTGTCAGCTGTCCGCGACTGCTTACTCAGTACTATGTTCGCAACTACTCGCATGTCAGAAGACCTCCACGCTCAACCAAAGGACCTGTCGTATCGTGGTGACAAAGGATACATTTAACACGGTCTGGTTGGACGAATACTAACAAAATCTGACTGGCTTTAAGAGATCCCGATTGAAGATGGCTGTCTTCTGGGTTGTTGCGCCGTGGTAGAAGTTTACTGACGTTTCAGAGGTCCTTGCTGCTCTCATCATCAGGGCGATAATCAGGAGTTGGCAGAATAATGCAGAATGTATGGGTTCGCTGTCTTTCTTTTCACGATTCAACACGCAGTTTGATTATATAATCGGATGCATTTAAAGTTATCTTTAATAAACAACCAATCTGACTATGTAGTGACCATGGACATTTTGAGATAACAGCCACAAACTCGCAAATATACACGATAAATAAATAATGCAAGATTAAATTACAGGAAGGTGAGTTATCTCAGCGCTACGCGTGTTTCTGTATAACAGTTTCTTCAGGAGATAAGAAACATGTAAGGGCAAAACACTGACACTGATAGAATATATTTATCATTATAGAAAGATTAAAACAACAAATCCACAGTAATCTGAAGTAAAGCCGATGAAAGATTCAAGGAAGCGACTACTAGAGTGATATGTAGTTTATTTTGCCGGGATTTAGTTGAAAGACACTGCTACATTTTTCAGTCAGCTTGTGACAACGAAGTCGTTAAATGTGTTTTGCACACAAGAGCTTCCAGGAAAACGGATATTATTTTGAAACGTCGTAGACATTATCGTTTCTGTACATGTTTCTTGGTTGGCAGTTAAAAATGAAAACTTTTCGTTCAGGTACAGTTACCAACAGACAGCCATTATCAGTTTTCGCCAGATGTTTTGCATGGTTGTAAGACGCGGCCTCTTATTCTGAGTAAATAACATAAATTACAAGTGGCCGACAATAAGACACCCTGGAAAAAATCTAACCTGGGGAAAACGAGGTGAAGGGGCAACTTAGAATATTACATGACAATAAAACATGATTTCTACAGCTCAGTCGGCATTGTTGGGATAGTAATACAGTAAAACCCCTCAAGTTGGACACCCCTTTATATTTGACACTTTTAATTGGAACCGGCGAATATCCTATAATTTTACATGTCCACATTACCCTTTATCTTGGACACCCCTTTTGTTGTAAGTTGGACAGGTTCATGCACTTAGCTTCGATGCTTTTCAGGGAAACTTTTTCAGTTACAAATTTTGAATTTCTGACTGATGAATGCATCGTCTTTGGAGGATTATCTTATGGGCATTGGACCCATCATTGGAATGCATTGCAAGTGTTTAACTATTCTTTTGCTGAACCCTTAACTGGACTACAGTATTGCAGAAGACACAGACTGTGCTTGCATTTGGGTTCAGACTCTGTTAACAGAAATAGAATTTTTCTTTTTGCGATGGGGAAGCAAAAATTGGTGAAATTAACTTTAGAAAATGTTATTGAGGCTGGGGTGTAATGTGTAATACGTGGGAGTGGGCTTCAAAAGATTATTATTAATACTATTGTCATTAATTCTTAATTCAAGTAAGCCTACAGTAGTTAGTGTATGTAAGTAAATAGATTATATTGTCATTAGACCACAATCTGATTTTTATCTTTCCCTCTATCTTGGACACCTCTGTAAGTTGGACACATTTTCGTGGAACCCCAAGTGTCGAACTTAGAGGGGTTTGACCGTATTAACAAGTTTGCATAGTACAGAGTCTGGTGGGAAAACTTCTTATAAAGGGTCCACTCAGATGACCAAGGAAATTGGTAAGTAGAGAGATACAAAGGCAGATAGCATAGAAAGACAAACGGACAGGCAGACAGGCAGAAAATTTGGTATAAGATTCTTTAAAGAATTAACTTCTGAAACTAAGGTATAGAGGACTCCTTGGGCAGGGAATTGGAATGTCGTGTTATTATTTGGTGCGTATTCGTATCTAGACTACATAAATAAAGTAAGTGAATAAATAAATAAATAAACAAAAGACCACATTTAAATAATCAGAATAACTAATTCACATCCCCAATGAAATCAAACACAGAGAGATTGCAAAATTCTCGGTTTAGTCTATTCGAATTTAATTAAGTACTACACTGTGTGATAATGACAGATTTACAGCAAAAGGAAAATAATTAAACATATTTTCTTACAGAAGTTCTCAACTGTGATGTCTCAGAACTGTGACCATTAAGTCTGTATCATAAACATATTTTGACGTTAACAGACGCATACAAGCACCTGTAATAAATTTCAAACTGATTATTCCTACTCCTGAGTTCAAATCTGTTTTGCATCATCTTCCAATAGCTTCCTCTTTCAACATAAACAATATTGTTAGCCTTTACATAGAAGGCGATAAATATTTACATTCATGATATAGTTGTTTCAACATCTGCAGCTAGCAGAATGTGTTCATAATGATGTGGGTTGTGACGCAGTGTGGAGTTGTATTCCACAAGACGCCACAACCCCAGAAAACCATCAGAAGTTTCCTTACAGAATACATACATATTTCTTTGTTAAATTCCACTGATCCATAAGTTAGCCAGATGAAAATAGGATGCAGAATTATTTACAATAATACAATACATATTATATATATTACAAGTACAATTCATATAATTATAAATATTTCACATATTATAAGCAAAGGGTTCACATAAAGTAGTGATTTGTTACAAAAACACCCACATATTACACAAGTAGATAAACTATACTAGCCATTTGTATCATATGAAGTTGAAAATTAATCGAAGAATAATTAATTTTGATGTCCTCACTCACTCTTTCTTTTCTTTATCCCTTTCGTACTTTTACCTCCTTTAGAAATACTTTAAAAGAAACTACCTTATGGTAGCATCACATTCTACCTCCTAACCCTATTACTCAGAATTTGGCCAGTTATGAATAGCACACACGCAGTGAAAAACAGTTTCCTACAATCCATTCTGCTCTCCCGATCGGTTACCATGTAACTTCTGTCTGCTCTCAAAATAAAAAAACTCTGAAGAAGAAGTGATTTGACACGACTGAAGACATTTCAAACACGACACGCGGGAGATTCCGAAAGCAGCCGACCAGAAATATTTTCAACAGCCGCAGGAGCGCTCGAATAAATGTTTGTGCGCCGGAGGGGATCAATTTGAAGGGCATTAATGACGAAATACGTGTTCAGTAATTCAGCATACTTCTTTAACACAAGTTTCCACTTCCATAACACAAAGTTACAAGGGTTCAATATTGATAATCAAAGTCTAGTTCAACATCTTCTGGTCTTAAAAATCCGAGTTTTGAAGGCAGATTAGGACATGTTTTAAATATGATATATAACAATAATAATCTGTGCTGTTACTGCGGGAAAATCTTTTTAAATTCATTTTGGTTGTTGTGATTAAAAGAAAAATTGTAATTCAGTCACCAGTAGTCTAGTCGGCAGCAGTTCGGTTTATGATATTCTTCCTCCAGTTCAATTCAGTGTAACAGCACTCGCCAACAGCAAACGTTTATAACACGTGAGCACTAAATAACAACAACAACCACGTCTATGACGATGATGATAATAATAACAGGCTGAATTAAAAGATCGCAACAAGGATTTCGAGTTTAATCAACGGAGAGCTCCATCTCCCAATGCAATTCGTCGATGGGTAAAACAATAGCGTGAAGACGGATCTGTGACAAATAAGAAATCGCCCGGTCGTCGTCATCGTAGTGTTCGTACACTTGAGAACAATGTCCCAGTGTTGGAATCTGGGCAACGCAAGAATTCTGTAGCTCTAGGAATGTTTGACAGAAGCGTAAGACGTATCTTACGCTCTGGCTTGAACTTCCACCCGTACAAGACACAGACTGTGCAGCAGTTCAATGCACGTGAAAAGGAAGTTTGTTTGAAGTGTTGTCATCAACGACTGATTTCTCGTGATACTTCTCAGTTCGAAATATTTTGTCTTCCCGTCTGATTTCTAAGAACCTGAAGATTAAAATATACTGGGGATACTGGGAACGACCCGTTCTTCAAATGCCTGAGCACTGTGGGTCCCAACTTTTCGTTGGCTTGA